GGCATGAAAAACAGTTAATCAGTGGATGTGAAATAAATCTTTGAAATGAAACAATCCTTTAGTGCGACAAAGTCACAGTCACAGGTGACTCATCAATTTCTGTTCAAGTGCACCTCTGACTCATCTTTTTCTTAGCCTTAGTTGCAAGTACGGCAAATCTCTGAACCCTCGTGGCATAATGCCTTGTTGATGAGCGTGTTTGAATAGAGGCTCCACGAATTGTCTTATCTAACGGAAAACAACACAACACAACACAACTGATTATGGAAGTTAAATGGCATGGCCAAAAGTAGCAAAACCGTTTGTTGAAAAATTCAGTTATTTTTACCGCTGTCATCAGTTTTTTTGTGTAAGCCTAGTTATGATGATCACTGATCAGTGTCTCCAAAAAACAGTATGCATATGTATAAAAACTGTTTCAGTTGCTTTGAGTGTCCTCATTAGAGGGAAAGGTGCCATTTCTATAATGAGCTTTTTGTGATCGCCTTAGTGATCTTAACCTTCAAAGCTTTCTACAATGTCACACAAGCAGAAAACAAACTTCTGCCATCCAGAGCGACGACGGTTGAGTTTCAATGCACCAAGCTCACACAAGACTGAAAATACACCATAATAATTACAGTACAACATTTACCCATTCCCTGATGCATTTTCCCTGTCCCATCCCTGTCTTCATAATGAATCGGTTGCCATGGTTACTGTTGCTTAGCAACAGGCCAGTCAAATGCTCCTAATCCTGTGCTGTTGACAGTGAGCTGTGACTAGGGAAGGGAGGATGAGGGGGGGGGGGGGGGGGGGGGGGTGTACAACAAACAGCAGCACTGGAGAGAATGGATATAAGGTGTATATGTGCATGCATCTATTGTGTGCCTGTGTGTTTGTGAGTGCGTTATTATAAAAGTGTAGAGCAGGTTTATATGCAATAGCTGAGGCTGAGCACTGCAATGAATTCTGTGTGTGTGTGTGTGTGTGTGTGTGTGTGTGTGTGTGTGTGTGTGTGTGTGTGTGTGTGTGTGTATGTGTGTGTGTGTGGTGAAAATGAAAAGCCTAGATATGAGTGGTTGTTTAAGCTTGTGTTAGCCAAACATCAAGACAGACACTGACTGCAGTGTCAGCTCTATTTCTATTGTTTCAATTATTATTTTTTATTAAACTTTCAAATGTGTCACATGAAAGAAGACATGACATGTTTTCATGTCAAAGTTTGTCATGTGTGCTTTTCCTTTCACACCACTGCAAAGCCACACATGAACTGATCTGAATGTAAAAGGACAGTTTCCCTGATCAGAGACTCTTAAATCACACCGACAATTATTCACAAACGCACAGGCAAGTGTCAGACCTGTGTCTCAAAATGTATTCAGCAATATTCTTCTACACTCTGCCACAGCATCTTAACCGGCTAATGCTTTATCAAAGGCATCACTGTCATGCAATTGATTTGCTCCATATGACACAATGGTTGAAAAAGAGCTTTCCGGGAAATGGAATGGCATTGCTCAAAGACAATGAAAAGATCATGTCATGCCCCCCCCCCCCCCCCCATAAGACAATGCTTACTCACAGGTTTCAGTGCTTACCCTGTATTATCTGGGTATTGCATTTCTAAAAGGCAACAGCAATGTAGAAAGAAACAGCTTATTGTTTGCTTTCCAGATACATTTTATCTAAAAAGTTATTGAAATACTCTACGATGACCTCAAGTACGAAGGTTACTACTACAGCTATTCAGGTGTCATGTAGAATTAAGTTATCTCCCCCATACTATTCTCCCTTTATCCCTAATAGTACAGCAACCCAAATATTTGCCATCATTTTATGTCTGGCTTATACTGGACAGACTCTGATATCGTATCATCGACATCATACTCGGACTCTTATGCAATACAAACAAATGATGACACAGCTTCAAAGGGCTACAGGCAGCTGGACATTATCCACAACATAATGTTATGTACAAATGTAATGTGTTTATGTTTGAACCCAGCAGTGTCACTGCCCACAGTGACAGAGATTTTTAGTAATTAAACAGAGAGGGGAAACAGAAAGGGAGCAACCTGAATAATGTAACTCTCAGGTGCAGCAGTAAAAACATGGTGACAGAAAAAAGTCATCTCGGTAGATAAGTGCAAAGCACCCGTCCTTGTAAGGCTGTGACATTTAAAATGAACCTTAATGAATTAGGATGGGATGGCTGCACACTTAGGTGACTTTTATTTATGGGAAACAAAGCAATGACACTGGGATGAACTTCCTCATTAATACTTAAGCTTAATTAAGGCCTGCGCCTCTGGAGTACTCTGACAGGAGGAGGTGAGGGGGAAAGCAGTGTGTGTGGCTATGTGTGTGTGTGTGTGTGTGTGTGTGCACACGTCTGCGTATCAGTGGGTGTTTGAAGTGAAGGAAGGGGGTCTGCATGCTTTAGTGCCCCTGGGTGCCGTTCTCCCCCATCCTCCCACTCCCCATTAAGAACCTCTCATTGTACAAGCACTGAAGTAGCCAGGTGAAGACACTAGAGTTCCCAGAGCAGTTTGGCTCTTGTTTTGACACCCAGAAAAGAAAAGGAGTGAGGTCAAACAGTCTGACATGACTTTGTGCAGTGTGCAATGTTTAGGGACCAACCTCAGTCCCTGGGGACACATTCCTCTACAGAAAGGAAAGCTTATGTTTCAATCTCATCTGGTAACAACATGTGAGAGAGCGGGAGCAAAAAGAAAGACATATGGATAAAGGAAGAGCAGTGTTAACCAGTTGGTGCAGAACTGGGGTCGAACAGATTTTGCAAACGCACTCTTACGCAATTTGTTTTTAACAAAACCTCAATTTATGTCCTGCTTCCTCTGGTCTCTCATTTTAGTTTAAACAATTTGCTCATTTTATAATAAGAAAAAAATTTTTTGGAACAAATGTATGCAGTATCCAGTTCATAGTTTACAATACTTGTGGTTCAACAGACCTCAATTTAAGTTCATTGTGTTTTTTGGAAAGCTGGCAATGGTGATGTTTTTTTTAACCTACATTCGACACTGTTAAAGCAATTTTGGGGCTGTGTGTAAGGGTTACCTACAACTTTGGTTTTCTCATAACTGTAGCCTTTTCATCATTATCCAAAAATAGTGCACTTACACCACTGAATAATCAGGGTTTACTTTGAATCTGCACTATGATTGTCTAATCCTTAGCTATTCGCCTCAGCATCTTTTTTTTTCATGCTCTGCAGATCTTGTGATTTGCTCAGAGCATCATGTTGTTTCCGTAACCTTTTAAACAGCAGTCTTCCATCTGACAACCTCCCAGTCACAAGCTACTGGCCAGTCGCCACATGCCAGCAGCTGCCATGAACAGATCAACTTTCTTCCTTTTTCTTTCTTTTTCTCTTATACATTCAATGTCACATGAGCACATAGTATACGGAAGCACGCACATGCACACACACACAAACATACACAAACACATACAGACTTTTTCCTCAGCACCAAAACAAGCACATTTTACCATTCTGCAAATCAAATAAGAAAATTCAGCCAATTTTTAGAAAATTAATGAAAAAATCTATTGAAAATAATATTTGTAAAATTCTGCCTTATAGTGGAATCAAATGTAAAAGCAAAATGATAAAATAATCATAAAAACAACTAAAATTACCACCTCACTCTTGTGATTGCTGTTACTGTTCCTGAGTTATGGAGTTCAATAATTGCATGAATACCTTTTTTGCAAAACATTATGATGTCACAGTGAAGTTGACCTTTGACCTTTTGGATATAAAATCTCATCACTTCATCATTTTGTCCTATTAGACATTAGTATGAAATTGTGTCAGAATTAGAATTCCTGAGTTTCTGAGTGAAAACATGTTTTGTAGGTCACAATGACCTTGACCTTTGACCACCAAAATCTGATGTAATGAAATTCCCTCCAGACGTTCCTGAAGCATCACGTTCACGATAATGGGACAGACCGAAAACATAATTACATTTTAATTATGGCTGAGTGTCAACGTTGTGGTTTAACGCAGATACCAGTCACAAGTCTGAGTTCTCCCCTTCCTGTATCTTATAACTGACTTATTTGTCTCACATGACAGACAGTAGTGATTTCCATCATGAAGTTGTGAAATGGATCTTAGATTTCCACTTAACTTTGGAGGAAAAAAATGTGGCACCTAATGTGGTCCTAACAGCTAGAAATGATAATGCAACAATGTCTGGAAGAGCTTAGACATTTATTTATGGGGTTAAAGGCTGCGGAAGAAACCATAGCGCCAGAGCAGTAATGGTGCACAAGAAAAAAACTTAAAGAATAAATTCGATTTTAAGGATTTGAATGAACTCTAAAAGCACAGAGGGAGGCGCCAAGAGGAAGAAGTCAGTGTTGTTCTTATTGTCCTTCTGTAAGCTTTTAGAAGTCCCAGTGGCTGAGTGATTCTGTTACAACAAACTGTATAAGGTCAGACCAGTGTGTCCTCAGTGTAAACAGCCTGTCTGTCACCAGTCTTTGTCCCTGTCTCCACTTGGTCCATTCACATTTTCATATAAAACAATCACTGCAGTCTTAATGCAGTGATTGTGACTGACATCTACCTTGACCGATCAATTCACGGTTTTGGACTTGGAGAGCGTGAGTGTTGGTAAAAGAAGTAATCTGCTGTTTCAGAGAAGAATTTGAGTTCAAAAGCAGGTGTTCATCTGTCTGAGTCTCAAGTCTCTGTTGACATAACAGAAGCTGTACCTTTGGCCAGTCAAGTGGATATCTACGACACGTGCTGAAACTTTAGACCTCCTTTTATCTCGTCTTCATTTTCATCCTCAAATCATGCCATGACTTTACATGGTCTAATTATCTCTCTTAGGTTTTGCCAAATCATATGATTCTGCTTGTGTTAATGAGGGCTGATAGTGGGATGCATTGGACTGATTTGGGTTGTTGTTAATGCTACATTTTTCTTACCGGTGAAATCGTTTCCTCATGGTCTTTCTTTTTTTTAATTTCTCTTACAGAGCCGTATGGCGGAGAGCTTGCGCCTGTTTGACTCCATCTGCAACAACAACTGGTTCACCAACACGTCGCTCATCCTCTTCCTCAACAAGAAGGACCTGTTGGCTGAGAAGATCAAACGCATTCCTCTGACAGTGTGCTTCCCTGACTACAAAGGTCAGAACACCTATGAGGAGGCAGCCGTCTATGTGCAACGGCAGTTTGAGGACCTCAACCGCAACAAGGAGACCAAGGAGATCTATTCGCACTTCACCTGTGCCACTGACACCAGCAACATCCAGTTTGTGTTCGACGCTGTCACGGACGTGATCATCCAGAACAATCTCAAGTACATTGGGCTGTGCTAGGACCTGACGCTGGGTGTGGGGGCGGGGTGGGGTGGGGGGTGGGTGGGTAAAGCGGGCTGCTTGGCAGCAGTTGGCCCGCCATCAGGCTGGATAAACAAAAGGCATGTCAGTCTGCCTGACGGTTTATCTCTTTGAAGAGGTGCAACAGACAACTGCAAAGGAAATGAGGTAGTAAGACAGGTCAGGGAGAGACGATTCTGTAGATTAAACTGTTTCAGTTGAAACAACAGAGATGATGGGCCATGGTCAAGATGGGATTTTTACCCAATGTGTTTGCACTGAATATGAGTATGCAGAGACACCCAAACACACACACACACACACTGACACACAACACAACCTTATGTTTGCTCACACACAAGATCTTTGGATCAACAGTCAAGCACTTGTTTGACAAGGCAACACTGGAAATTTTAGACAGCTACCCCTCCCTGCCTGCCAGACCTGGGACTGAGTAGTAGGTCTGCGCTGGTGGCTTTCGGTTACTTTAGTCTCCTTTATTTTATTTGCCTGAGTCAGTTAATGCTGCTTTACAAGATGAATTTTGACAGAATCAATGTTCTCTTTTTGGATTTTCACCCTAACAATGGTAATCAGTGATCGCACCTGATGAAATGTAGAAAGAGCCTGTATTTCTGGGAAAAAAAAAAAAATTGTCAGTAGACATGATGTCACAGGGTTTCTGCCTAAAAGAGGAAACTGCCACAGTCTAAAGCTGAAGTGAAATATGTTTTCTACACACTGTTTCTGTTTTTCCCTCTGGTCGACTCTCTAATGTTGTTCTGTTCCCCACTTTCTTTTATCTTTTTTTGTGCTTTAAAAAAAGAATATGTCACTCAAACCTGCCTTTTATAGCAGGTCACTGACTTAAAATACCAGGAGTGTTGCGCTCGGTAGAGTCAAAAGTATTCTTTAAGATCATTCCAGTTTCCAGCAAGAGACAACAAAACCAGTGCCAAGATCAGTTTGTAAATAAACCAGATCCCATCCATTACGTTCATTTTTTTGTTTTGTTTTGTTTTTATGGACAAATACATTAAAACATGCATGATTTTGTTACTTTGGGATACTAATATATTTTCTTTTGGATTACGTTCCTCTTTTCTTAGGTTTAAATAATATATTCCCAAAAATATATATAAAAGTCAAACACTGTGTACGATTGTACAGTTGTCAGAGAGGAATCTATTGAAAAGAGTTATATGAATATAATAACAGTGATTATGATGTTATGATGATGATGATGATGATGATGATGATGATGATGATGAAAAAGATGATGATGATGATGGTGGTGATGGTGATGAAGATGATAGTGGTGATGATGACAAGGAAAACCTCTCTACAAAGTTAGCTTGAGGAGAAAGAGGATCAAAGGAGAACAAGACTCTAGAAAAATATGAAAACAGAAAAGTAAACCACGAAAGTTCAATCTTCCTCGCATTACCTAAGTGGAAATTGTTAAACAGTCAGTCAGTATGATGTGTAAATATACTGTAAGGTACACTCTTTGTTCAAACAAATGAAAATAAAGGTTGAGCTGGGATACTGTAAGTGAGATAAAGAGAGAGCGAGAGAAAGAGAAGGAGGAAAACCCCACTCCACTCCTCCTCTTACCCTTTCTTTTCAGTTCAGAGGGTGATGTGCAAACAACTCAGCTAAGGGCTTCAGGCTTGACTTTATGGGATGTCCACTTCAACAAAAGACAAAACAATTAAAAAAGAAATATAAAAAGAACAACAACTATGAATAAAACAACTTATGCAAATTTTCATGGTGTAGTAAATGTGTTTTTGGGTGGTGGCGTGGTGCTTTCAGTGTGTTTCAGTTGGGAATGTTCATAGATGATAGACGGCTACTGGCTGCCTCGTCTTTCTTATTCATTCATAATTATGATTTGCAACCTGTAATAGAGCGTACCGTCCAAAATCCCTGCTTCCATCCTCGGTGTCCAAAATCATGACATGAAAAGTGTTTGTCCTCTCCATACAATGTAGCCGCTGGGGCAAGAATAATTTGGACATAAAGTATGCAATTAAATTAGTCCTGAATGAACTTGGCCTATGTGTGATAGGGTGACAGTGTGCACTGCCATACAGATTCCACTCTAATTAGTGTATAAACCCCTAGCTGACCCAACGTCTCTGCCAACAGGTTTGCCGACGTCCACAAGTATATGTTTTGTTTTGTCATTTTTAGTCTTTCAAAAGTTAAATCTCACACAAATTAGATTTTATTTACTGTAACGCATTATTTATGTGGCAAACCTCAACCACTGCATAAAAACTGAAGATTGGTGTAATGTAGAACACTGCTCATGCTCTAAATAAAGGCTCTTTCAGAAGACAATAGTAATATAATGACTGTGATCAAACATATGTAAAAGGATGATGTTTCTAACCAGCAGGTCACCCTGTTACCTCTATGTTACAGTCATGAGGTATTTTTCATGTTTTAATATTATTACAGCATTTGATAAGGCTTTCAGTTCATCAGACTGGGGACCATACATAAAACATTACAGTACTGTGTGGCTGATGGTTTTTAAAATGATTTTTACCCATCTTATTTTTTATTAATTCAAGCTTAATTTACATCCCTGTGAGAAAAGCGTCCTCAGGTCATGGGGATGTTCTTTTGTGGATTGATTTAAGCAACAGTGGGAATTTGTTTGAGAGATGAACATAAATAAAATCCACTGCTGAGAAGGGAGCGTTCCACTGAAATCATGCCTTGTGACTGTCATGTGGTAGGAGTTGGTGCCAACAATAAAAAATGACTGAGTTACAGAGCGGGAGGATAGATGCTCAAAAAAAGGGAAAAAAAAATCAAAGGAGGTATAGAAATGTTCTCTATTTATTCATTCAAATGAATCGGGGAGTAACTAAGGGAAATTTTAAGTACAAGTTGTAAAGAGGTGGGACTTCTGGTTTTCTAAGGACTGTTTGTCACAAGGTGGTGCTAAGCAACTAATGTTGAAGTAGCAGAGTGATTTACTACATGGGAAAATTTTACAACTTATTGACAATCTAGTTACTCTGAGAGGAATGAACACAAACAGCAATACTAAATACATGCTGCGTCTCCCATAGGGTTAAAACCCTAACTCATACTCATACAAAATTAAAATTCAACAGCTACAAGGAAGAGGAACTAAAGAAAAGTTAACATCCTCTGTCACACACCATATGAGCAAAAATAATATTATTTATTTCAAATACCTCAGAGGCATAGCATTCACTGCAGGGTGTATTATACAAACTAGTATACCAATACTATAGTAGAACATATGCTGCAAAAGGTGACCAAATAACAGAGATGGAAGGATGAGGACAGGACCATGAGCAGCAATTTAAAGAAAAATATTTTCTGGTGTAGACATGATCCATGCTTTCAATATTTTATGATATTTATAGCAACACTACAACATCATGGGTAACATGATGTTAAACACGGGGTCACATGCCATTGTTGGAACAGACAACCAAACAAATGAGATGTGATAAGACGTGTGAAACGGGGATAAGACACAAGATAAAGACATCGTGTGTCTTTTCATCTTGCTGCCTGATGCTGTCTGTCCTGATATGAAATCCAGGTCCCAGGATTGTGCCATATTCATTTAGGTGATAAGTATCAGTAAATCAGGAGAGGATTTGAAAATATGTATTGATGACGTTTATCGATCTTTATCCACATTCACCTACAGCATGAGCTCTGACAGGTTGCTGTGACGTTTAAGGAGCCCTGATCAGAAATAGTGTTGTCTTTACTCTTAGATCTTGGAAACATCAAAAGTCTTTTGTCCGTCGATTACAGATTTAAGCTGGGGCCAGGACAAACTCCGATTTGTCATCAGTATTGAGACATGCAATATCTAATAAGGAGAAGGGATTGAGGGCATTTCTAAAAATGCAAGTCGTTCACAAACAACCATGGGCACAAATAGAAATTCTTGGCCCTATGATGACAGTTCTGAAACAATAAATATCTATAATCCCTGGCATGTTCCACTGCCCTGTCTATTTCTAGGACTCCTGAATCATTCTGACATTTTCTAAAAGAAAAAGAGAGAGAAAAGAAGAAGGTCCTTGCCACTAGCCTCACTTGACCCTTTGTATGTTGTTGGTCAGCACTTGAATCCCTCTCCATTCACCTCTATAAAATCTCACCATTAACATTGAGTATATCTTGTGATTTCCCTGGTTCCTGTCCTCAGCTTCCCTCTCTTTACTCCCTCTGGCTGACTCCTTCCTGTGTCTCCTCAATGACCTCCACATTTATACCTGCCCTCTTATCCCAACAGGACCTTCTCCCGTTTTCCTCTAAGCTTGTCTGTTTGCTCCCACCTGTTTCTTGGCCTTAAACCGCCTGGTGAATCAAATGGACAAGCCTTCGGGCAGCTGTTACAAAATTCCACAAATCTGGTTTTCTTGGAAGAGTTTTAGTATCTCATCTCCTCCTTTCTTCACCTCTATCTGCTGGCAAATCTGCCATTTACCACTTTAAATCCAGTCCTCCGCTTCTGACCCACAGAAACTCGTCTCTATCCTCTCCTCTCGTCTCAGCACCACTCCCCCTCTCCTCTGTTCACTCCACAAAGAGAGTGATGACAGCCGAGGATCATCCTCCACCCTCTGGTCACTGTCTCCTCTGCTGACCCCTCTAACATGAGCTTAATGTCTCCCTCAACCCATTCTAAATGAAGTCTTAAAAAAAAAATTCCCATGAGCAGACTTAACTTCTGCCCTCTTGAACCCACTCCCTTCTCCCCCTGCCGGACCATCATCGCTGATCTGCTCTGCTTCCTGACTGATATCATCAACCCTTCCCTGACATCTGGCTGTGAGCCATCTGTCTTTGACTCAGTTGCAGCCACTGTCCTCCCCACAAAACCTTCTCTTGACCCATCTGACACCTACTATAGACTGCTGTCAAGCCTTTCTTCTATACTCCTTGCTATTGCTGCATGTCCAGAAACTGGACTTGTTTCTAATGCAGTAATTGT